AGGTACCCCCCTGAGCCTCCTCTTCTCCAGGCTAAACAACCCCATCTCCCTCAGCTCCTCCTCAAACGTCCTCCTCATTCCTCATGCACTGGCAGCATCAACTTTGAAACAGGTTTTGCTGGTAGTTACTGCTATGGAAGGTCTTTGACTACTGTAACAGTACTTTAAAGTGTGTTACTAGTTTGCTGAAATAAAACTCCTGTTGGTGTGGAACTAGGACAAGCTGGCTTGAAAACAGAATGATTTCACTCTCTGGGGGAATATTTGCATTCTGGTTAGCTCTGTTGGGCTATGCCAGGCCACGGTAAGTTACCATGCTGTAGCCATGTGTGTGTGTGTAAGCCAAAAGGAGATAGGGCATGGGTAGCCTGGCACTCACACTACAAAAGAAGGCATCTCCCCCAAAGAGAGACAAAAGAGTCATCCAGCAGGAACCTGTATCTTAGACAGATTGGATTACAGTGAGGGTCAGTAACATGCTCAGTTCAGGTACCTCAGCAAAGGAGCACATCAGTCACTGGCCCCAGCTCTCAGACAGCTTGTTTAAGCAAAGCCTGCATACAGAATGCTCCCACTGGCAAATATTTCCTGAGTCTTTGCCTTTTTTGTCTGTGGTTGTTTCTAATTCATAAGACGACAGCTCCTACCTGTCCCAGCCAGTGATATTTGTTCTTTAAAAGCATTTCTTATTTCAGCATTTTGCCTCTGCGTTATCTAACTTGCGTGAGCTGGACTGCTCCTGCCCTGCTTTAATCTCTGGTCCACAGAAAGCCCTAGAGAGACATTTAACAGTGCCAGATAAATGAAGATTCAGCAGAACTCAGTACTCTACTGAATTATTGAACTTTCTGTCACATTTTCAAATGCTTGCTTTTTATGACTACTGTAACATGAGTATTAGTGAGACATATCTTACACCTCAAGCCTTGTATACAGCAGATGGAAATAAAAGGTGTTGCCTAAAAAACTCCAAGGCAAATCATAGAATCTAGAATGGCTTGGGTTGAAAGGGCCCTTACAGATCATCTAGTTCCAACCCCTAAAATGAAGTGGATAGGATCTTTCTTCTCCTCTTTCCTCAGTTGTTGAGGTAAGTCACTGCTATCTGCTAAGAGGCATTTGACTACTCAGACTGCTGTTGAAGTGAGGGTCAGAACAATGAGGGTCAGAACAAGGACACTTGGAGCTGTTAGCTCCCAGTAGGCTCCTATACACATTTTTTAGTTCTTTGATTTCTTTAGTTCTAAATTTACAACTCGGCACAGGGCTTAGAGACAGCAGTTTGAGATCTACCACTCATCATTTGTCTCCTGTATCTCAGAACAATCCATCACAGAGCCTGTGCAGGCTGTTGTTAGATCCAAGTAATGATATTTCTGAGTTCATAAAAGAGATGTCTTTAATCTGTGATTACCAACATTTGGCTGCAGACTGTCAGCTGGGTTTTCTCAGACTCATTAGCGAGGCCCAGGAATGGCACTGGCTGCAATCATATAGCACAATGGGAAAGGCTTTTAAGGCCTAATTTTTATTTCACGTAAGTGTCTTTCTTTCCTGAGCTTGCTGCTAACGGACCACCATTATGTGACTGGAAATGTCAATTTATTCTGTTTGGAGGAGGTGGGCTGTCTCCCCATCAGTGCCTCAGGCCTGACTAGCATTTTGCTGAAATTCCCTTAGAGACAGCAGGATAGTTTTATTTTCACTAAGGGATAGGACTGTCCTGAGAACCATCATAACAGAGTGCTCTTGTGTATACTTATTATCTGAAGCTTGCCACCTGGGGAACATTAACAAGGCTGCATTTGCAAACGTGCTTGTTTCAATAGAGGAGAGTGAAAATTCACAGGAGAATTCCACAGCTCCCTGATTGTCTGTAGCACTTCTGCACGGCTCACGGAGCCTGTGGCTCCAGGCAGTTTGACTCACACAAGATGCTAAGGGAACTCAGAGCTAGGCTTGCAGTCAGCAGGAATTTCCACATGTCTCCCAGGCCAGGAGCCAGTGTCCCTGCACTCCCCATCCCTCAGGGCTCTCTTCTGGCAGAGAACGGGTCCGGGGCACCTGTGAAACGCTGTGGGACAGAACTGCTGCAGCTGAGCGAGCGCTCGCTGGGACAGCAGGCTTCGGGAAGGCTCCTCACCCGTCCATGCCCTGCTCTGGTGCAAATGCCTCCATGTGCTGTGGCAGGAACCCCAAACTAAGTTAGAAGGTTAGCAGTCATTCTTTGGATACTTCAGCCTGTAATGGCTAGCACTGGGATTCTGCTTGACAAAATGACCGGCTTTAGGTGGATGCTAAGGCTTTCGTGTATGCAACAAGGACCCAACCCTGTTACACCAAAACCTGTGATGCTTTTCACAGATGCTTTCAAACCTGGGATGCTTTTCATTGATTTCAAAGGGACACAGCAGCTACTTTGCATTCAGCATTTATTTTTATTCAAGCCAGGTAAAAGCTCATTAATTCTGGTTAAAAAAGACTACCAGACTCCTATCTTTCTCCTTTACTACACCTCACCCCAGTGGTGCAGAATAAGGTAAAATATATAGAGCTTGTTCACTTAAAATTAGGACAATGTGGAGATTACAGTGTAGAACACTAAACAGGTATCTGTGACCTTTTGCATTTATTTATCAGGACATCCTTGGCTCTAGAGGGGCTAGGTTAGGAAAGCAGCTTGGTTACGTTCAGTTTTCTACAGTAGTCAGTTCCTCACAGGATCAAGCTGTTCATAAACGATAAAAATACCTGTCATGTGGATTTCACATGCCTCACTTGGATGTTTTTATTGTTTGTTTCTATTTATTCTGTCTTTTGAATATTTTTGTCTTGCATTTGCACATGTTAGGTTCACAGTTTAGTTCAGTGGAGCTCCAATTCTGCAGGTCCTCTCCAAATCATAACTCACATTGTTCAAATGAGAATGGCTTCCTAAGGCAGATTTAATCAGTGTTTCTCTTGGGAACAAAACCAAATGAGCTTTTCTAAGGTTGGCAATTCAGTCCAATTATTTCGCAGATCTTTGTTCATTTAATTCCTCTGAAGTGGAACAATCAGAACAAACAAGGCAGATGCAAACAGGAAATTATAATTTCTCAGTTTGAAGAAAATGAGATTTCGCAACACACTCCTTTATTTATTTATTTATTTATTAAGCCTTATTCTTTTGTCATGCATCCCAGCAGTGCTTTATTGCAGAGCACAGCAGTCTTGAGAGAACTATCAGAATAATGTCAGTGCTGCTCAAAATGGAGCTGTGTAGACAAAACTACAGGTAGTGTAAATAAACTCAATTCCATTGAGTTGGGACCTATATCAGTTGAGTTGGGACCTGGGACCTATATCAGTCTAGAGCAACTGAGAACTTGCAGTTAGTTTACTGCAGTGAAAGGATGCTTTTTTCACTCCTTGGATAACATCATTATATAGAATCATAAAATACCCTGAGCTGGAAAGGACCCACCAGGATCACTGAAGTACAACTGTCCTGGAAGTTCAGATTTTCCTTTTCTTATTAATTTTCATTTCCAGTCACAAATTATCATGGAAGCTTTGCTTAATTGCAGATATTGTGGCACAAAATTAACCTTTAGTTTGCATATTAAACTGAAAAATACTTTGTTGAAATTAGACATGGTAAGTCATGGCTGTGTTTTAAAGAGGTGTCTATCTAAGACAACTTTAGGTCACTGAGATAAATCATCAGTAATGCCCTGATGAACATTATAATTTTGATGGATGATATCCTGCAGCTGTCAGCAGGTTGGACCTACTTGTTGATGTTTCTCAGGGGACTGGCTTAATGATTGTAGAAATGAAGTAAGAACTAAACTTGGAAAGAAAATTTCATTGAAATTATGAAAATGTTGGAAAGAAGCACTATTTGCTCCCTGAACAAGCATGTTTTAATTTATACCTAACAATTCTGAAAATGGAAAAGGAAAACAGATTTTTTTTCCTGTCATCTTCAATTCCTAGGCAACTGTTTTTGAGGTACTGTGAAAATGTATTACAACTTTAACATAGTCTTTTCTCCAGAATTTCTTGCAGCAGTACCACTGAAAGCAATGACAGACTGTGATGCCATTCTGGATGTGGACATTCATTTTTGCTGATTCAGCCTGATCCGCTCACTATCCAGATCTGGGACCTTCTGGAAGTCTCCAAGGCTTTTTCCTCTGTTCCATTAACAGGCTTCCTTCACGTAGCAACCAGAACACAAGGGCAAGATGTGCAACCAGACCTCGTCTGAGGAGGAAGCCAGGACCTGCAAGGGGCTCATATCTACATGTGACACCTGGGAAGTGCAACCAGTGCTTGAGCCTTTGGAGGGACAACAGCAGCCTGGCATTTGGTGCACACCTGGTTGATTAGCTGCGGTCCCGGTGCGTCCAGAATGCCTGGACTACTCCTGAGGGGTCAGCCCGGCAGGGAAGGACATGAAAAAGGATGCTCTTCAAATGCTTTCTGCCTTCTGCTTTTCTGCCTAGGCTTCTGATCCTCGAAAACCCTGTTACTCTGAAGACTGGTGGGACAGCTGTAGGAGACAGACACCTCGAGTTTCTGATGGGTTTTTAAGAGTATTGGCCATGGTACTCTTCTCTCTTTAATCCTTTTTGTGTGATGTGGTTCATCTTTCTTATGTAAAATCACCCGAGCACTTAGAATGCATTTCTCATGTCCTGTGGTGTTCAATCTAGCTCAATTGACATGCAGCATAGTGCAGCAGCCTTTCAGTTAGGAATGACATGGCTTCTGCTGACATTTCCCAGCTGAAGAATCATTTTATGAATCATACACACTCTTTGTTTCCAGCTCTTCTGAACCCTGTGAAAAGCAGCATCAGAACAGGACAGGTGGAGTTAGGCAGACTGTGAAAGCCTTGACGGAGCTTCAGCACAGGAAAATGAGGGTCAGCACCCTCAAGGAGGTCAGAGAGCCAGGGCCAGCACGCTAAGAAGAAACCTATTCATCGGTACCGCGAGGAGAAGCGCCTCTCACGATGGAGAGGGTGTCGGCCCCAGAGGCAGTGCTGGGGGCGGCTGTGGGGTACCATCCCCCGGGGGTCCCCATCGGGCAGGACGCGCAGGGACGGCGGAGCCAGAGGCCCGGGAAATCCATTCCCCGACGGCTGCTGAGAGGGACGCGCTTCGAGCTGGCAGCGGCACGTCCCCACCCGCCTTCCTGAGCATCCCCGCTGCCTCCGGCCCCTCCGCCGGCGCAGATGAGGGAGCTGCGGGCGGTGTGTGCGAGGGGAGGGCGGAGAGGAGCCGGCTCTCCCTGCCGGCCCCGAGCTCTCCTCCCGAGCGCGGCCGGGACCGCCGCCGGGCCTCCCCGCTCGGCACGGGCTCTCCCGGCCGACGCGCAGCAGGAGGCGGCAGCCGGACCCTGCCGGGCCCAGGGGCGCTGGGGCCGCGGGGCCTGTCCCGGCGAGCAGGGCTGAGCGCCCGCCCGGGGACAGCGGCTGCGGCGGGCAGCGGGGCGTGTGGCCGCCCGCACGGCCCCACCGCTTCTGGCATCGCCGCCCTGCGATCCTCGCTCCGCTGGCGGCCCCGGGCCGGCCCTGCCCTTCCCTGCCCGCGGCGGGCTCCCAACTTTCCTCGGCGTGGCACGAAATGTGCCGGGGCGCCGCCGAGCCCCTTTGACGTCTTGATCCTCTCCGAGAACTTAACAGGATCGCAAAGCCCTTCGAGCGGCTTTTCCCGGTGAGCCGGGCTTAGGCGCTCGGGCTGCGGCCGTAATCCGCCCGCGCCGCGCGGAGGGGCGGCTCGGCGGGCCCTGCCCTGCCCCGCCGCCCCCGCCGGGCCGGCCGGGCTGCGCTGCCGCGGCTCCCGGCGCGGCCGGAGCGCGTCCGGGCCGGCCAAGGGCAGCGCTGCCCGCGGGGAGAGCGCCCCGGGGCCCCGCATCTAGGCAGGCAGACTGCCAGACGGACTGACAGGCGGACTGACAGGCGGACTGACGGACGGAGCGCCAGAGTTCGGATGCTGCGGAGGAGAGCGTGGGCAGGTGAGTGTGAAACAGGAGGCAGTAAGCCTCCCTTTATGTCGTGCCCGTGAGAGTGGCATCATGTCCTGCAATAGACTTCAAGCCTTAGCTCAAAAGCTTGAAATGGAAATGTAAACTTGATTAATTTTAAGGAAAAGTGTTAATTTGATTAATTGATGAACTGATTGATGCTTTGATTAATTGAAGTGCTCTGTACTTAAAATTAAGTTGGATTCAGGGCACAAATCTGAACAGGAGTGGGGCTGAGGGGACTTATTCCACTCGTGTTGACTGATGCTTAATTTGACTAGCTTGATCCGTGTCTCTTAACTTCTCCGCTGTCTGGTGTCTGTGGTGTAAGCATAAGGCTGTCAAACACTATATAAAAAAATGCTAGCAAATACTACAAGCAGTGAAAGGGAATAGTTTTCCAGTGATTCCTGGTGCTTCCAGTAAATTGACCTTGGTTCTAGAAATATGACATCTTTTGCAAAAGTCCTGTACTGTAATCCAGGCCATGGTCTACCTAAGAATGTAGAAGATACAGTAATAACTATAATCAGCATCTTTCTCTAATGCAAGGTGCCCTCATTTACCAACAGGAAAAGTCTAAAGAAGATAAGGAAAAGTGATGTGAACATTACTTTAGATCTTTGAGGAAATTATGTTAAATGTAAATGTTGGTACCTGTTGATCTACTTGTTGAAACTATATTTTGTTTTCCAGATTCATAGTTGCTGCATTCAAAGCAAATAGTTAAAGGATTGTTGTATTTAAAATGTAATTTTCATTTTTAAAACTGAGTAAAACTACATCTGTGGTTTCAGATATTACAGATTTTGAAATAGCATAACTGTGTGCCTTCAGTCAGCACAGTCTTTGGTTTTTTCCCTCTGGTATTTTTCATGTTGTTTTCTTTGAGTATGCATGCTAAAACCATCTGATTAGAAATATACATGTTACAAATGAAAATGGGACTGTCAGGATGTTGAATCAGCAAGGGAAATCATGGTAAACAAGTAGTGAATGAACTTGAGGGAAGAATTCCTCACAGCTTTAAAAAATTATACATCATTCTTTCAGAAGAAAGAATGTCAGAATGTCTCAGCTTTGCATTCTGTGTATCCCAGCCTTTGTCATCCAATTTGCACCCAAGCTCAGTCATTTTGGTTCAGCACGTTGCCCTGCAGCCTTCTCCAATGTTGCCATCTCTTTTCATTAGCATCTCTTAAATCCTCTCCGGTAGGATGCCTCGTTACGGCTTGTGAAACGTGACGCGCCTTGCCTCTCGTGCTTCCCTTCCCCAGCCAAATGGGATGGCTCCGATAGTTTACATAAAGCGGGCAGGGAGTGAGTTTAAACATGTAACATCCACAGGTACGCAGGTGCACACGTCCAAACACACATATTTATTTTACAGGTAGTGTAAACCTGCTGTGTTCATGCTGTATTCATGCCCCTGCTATGTTCTCTTGTAAGAGTTACCTGGACAGCTGCGCTGACAGGAGACATTGGCAGAACCCCTGAATTTTAGACAGTGGCTACAGAAGCCTTGCATTTGATGTATAGAAACATGGATACCTGCACCAAGTTAACCCGTCCAGGCAACAGAAACAACATGATGTGACTTGCTTGTTCAGTCAGCTCTAATTTTTAATTTACTGTCTTTTAATTTATGGTATTAAATTCAATATCCACAGCTAGTTTCTACTGAAAAGTTTCCAATCTAATAAAGAATTCATCTGCAGAAGATGGTCTGCAGAAAACTTCAGTAGATCTTAGAAAATTGAACTATATTGCTAATAGCTCATAGTTGCAGAAGGGAAACTCGGTCCAAATAATTCAGTTTATTTAAATGATTATTTTGGTACTACAAGGTGCTAGAGATTGAGCCATCAAATAGATGAAAGGTAATCAAGTGTATTTCATTCTAAAACTATAAATTATACATACATGAATAATGCAGTGCTTTGTGAAGTGCATGCACATCTAAAGTACCTGTGAAAGGTAGAGTATTTGACATCCTTGGTTGGTACTGAGGCTACTAGGCTATGCATATAAATTATGTGCATTCTCAGGAGATGTCAGTGCTCATAGACTGTAGAAAATGCAATATAATGTAGCAGAGAGTAATAAATTTTGAAAAGCGTCCTTTTAAAAGAGGTCCTAGAATTTAAGAATAGTTGATTTTAACTGTAATGAATTCGTGAGGGTAAGTTGGTACTGGCTCATTGTTCCTTGAACTCCTTGAGCTTGATCTAATAGCCTTCATACAAAGCTGATTTCCATATGGGTGTGCCAGAGTCCAGTCTGCAGGTGAATTTACAAGCCTCCAAATAATTGAAGAAAAGGTTGTGCCTTGTCTTCAAATCTCCTTGTTATTCAAAAGTTCCAGTTTCCAGTCTTTGATGTGCATTTGTTGCCATTACTGGTTGAGTCCTTGGAGCTGTGGCCTCCTGTCACACGGTGCACACACAAGATACATAATGCACAGCTGAGCTATAACTATTAGCAAGTGATATAACCAGGATCATGTAGGTGGAGGTCAGATCCCAGAATAAATCCCAAAGACTTATCAGGGTTGAACCTGAGAGGCTGTGTGAGGATTTGGAACATGTCTTAACTAAAATGATGTAAGTGATCCTATGCAGCTTATCATTGCTTCCATAGCAATAAATAAAATGCTGAAAGCTTGAAGAACAACAGTATTTTAACAACTACACAGACACATAGCATGCATTATAAAATCATACGTAAAGTCATCTTTTATTTTGTGATGGTGATGCATATTTTACCTTGAAAATCTCTTTTTTGAATTCTGCCATATTTTCTTCCTGTGGTCCTTTTAACAATTAAGCTTTAAGAATACTAAGTGGTGGTATAAGTAGCTTGATCTATCATTATTACTTGATAAACAACTACATTTACTTTCTATCAGGTGTATTAATTCTTGGCCAGTTCACAATTTTGAATTAAGTTAGGTTGGGTTGACATATTCTGCCCCAAAAGGGAGCTGCTAGAGTAGCCCAAATGTGAACTCTCAGTGCTTTTGAGAGGGAGACTACAGTAATTCAAAGATCCTTCACAGATCTTTGATAGGCTGCCGAGCTCACTTTGATGGCTTAGCAGAGAGCCATCAACTTCCTAAATTTGTTATAACTTGTAATATTAAAGTGTGTGCCTGTGGGCTGTATTTTTTTCCTGCTGAGAAGTTGCAAAATTGTCTGAAACCCAGGCCACAAAGCTGCTCAGAGGTCTTGACTGTGTGCAGATAGTAGTGGGTGCTGAAAACAGATACTCCTGGTGCCATAGGTGTTCTCAGAGCACTGAAAACCCATGAGAAAGTTATTTGTATCTCATAATCTGCTGGTAGGGGGCTCTGGAAAAAGCAGGAAAACAGGTTTTGCCTTGCTTAATTTGAAGCAGACTTGACAGGTTTCTCATTTTTGAGGTGCAGCTGCTCAGTACAATGCAATTTTCTGCAGACAGGTGAATTGACTTGAGAAAGAGGGGAGTTATGGCTGTGAATTGGGTGCCACTCCTTTTGGTCTGGGGATAGAAGCCCAGTTACTCTCAGTATCCTAGTTTAGTTTCAGTCATTTCATATATGTAGCTTCCTTCTTAGTGCCTTATTCCTGCTTTCCTGCTTTTTTACTTCAGGAAATCCAGTGGATAGCAGAGCTCCTACAATTTAGATACTGCAGCCTTCGTAGCTCTAGTTCTGGGCCTTTAATGATGTAGTTCTAAAGAGATAAATGGAACCTGATTTTCAAAATTGGGAAATACTTACGTGAATCCGAAATTTTCATATGTTACTTGAACTCATATTTGTCAAACAACTATCTGTCTTGTTAAAAATACTTCTTTTATACCAGGCAGTGCCTTTAAAATAGTTTGACGCAATATCTCAGTTGCTATTGAATCCAAAAGGAAGATGAAAAAGTCCCTGACCATTTGTATTTCAAGTTGGGAGTGCTATCACTAATGTACGTAATTTGTTGCATTTTTAGTAGGATAATACATCTGTCTCATTTAGCTGTAGTTTCAATCTCAGTGATTTAGGCACTGAAAAGCAATATTCTTGAGTGTGGAATTATTAATCTCTTTTAGGTAAGTAATTTGTAAGCAAGAAAGAAAAGACTAGGTGAGAAAGCATGTTAAAATTTCTGCTTAACGCATTGTTAAAGATGCCAATCTTTCAAGAGCTAGGAGGGATTCAAGTTTTATTTTGCTGGGTGACTAGATTGAGGCTCAGAGGACTATGTGCCTGTCTGTCCATCTTTTTCTCTTGTTAAATCACTTTTGAGCTAAATACCTGTTCTAATTGCCTAATATGGATCTACTAGACTTGTCAGCCTTTAGGTAATCAAGTTTTACCCTCAGTGTAATTTATTAGCTTTAAATATTCAGAGCAGGGAGTGTAGTTGCCAGGTAGGAGATATTATTTATAAAAGGCAGGTACCAGTGTGGGGTGGGTGCAGCGCCCGGGGGCTGGCAGGGGCCGTGGGGCCCGATGTGAGCAGCAGTCAGGGCTGCCTGTGCTGGACACAGATGGCTCCAGCCAGCTCCAGGTGATCCCCTGTGGCCAAGATGGTGATGCTTTAGGGAAAAGCACTTAGGGAAAAGTAGGATGCCACCAAGGCAGTGTGTGGGGACTGAGGGGAAAAAAAAGGTGAAAACCATCTCTGCAGAAAGCAAGGTCAGAGAGGAAGGAGCAGAGATGGTGTTGTGGGCACTGGAGCAGAATTCCCTTGCAACCCTTGGAGAGAACCAGGATGGAGCAGACATCCTCTATGGAGTACCCTGGGGTAGAGCCAGGCATTTCCTCAAGCAGACTGCAGCCAGTGAAGAGGAGGTTGTGCAGGAAAAGGCTCTCCTGACAAGAGCTGTGGTCCGTGGAGGAGGCACACTGGAGCAGGTT